AAACGTTTACTCGAGTAAGCACTTATCAAGTCACATTACTTTACCGAATGAATATGACAATGACTAAAAATCTTACTTGGTAAAAGCGAATGCAAGAATCAAGAGTCTTACCCGGTAAGTGAGGGCGACAACTCTTTCCATGATTAGCGCTTACCGGGATAAATTGTTGCATATGATGCGTTTTGATGAATAAAATTTTACCCGATAAGCAAGCGATAGTATTGGATTTTACCAATAAATACTTACCAGATAAGAGTTTAAGTAAACGGGCCCTTAATTTTGATTTTTTTTTTAAAGGCACCTGATTCTATTAGGAACCAAGTCAACAAGGTAATATAACAAAAAGAAATATATACTTTCTGCAAGAACCAGAGAGAAATACAAAAAACAAGAGGCATCAGAGAGAGCAAATCAGCGAAAAACCGAGACAACTAATCAAGAACGCTTAAAATAGGACCACGCTTTATTAACCAACGAAATGATAAGAGTTGAATGTCAAAAAACAAATCCGATGGAGGAGGAACACTGTTAGAGAAAACCACTTTATTAAAGAAAGTTTAGATTGTGTACATAGAAGTCCAAAATACTGCCTAACACACTCTTTTTTGTTCAGAATGTTAAACCAACCATACATTTCATATGAACATCAATATAAACGAATATAGAATGAAAACCCCAGATCTATACAAGTATATAGCTAAGAACTCAAGAGAGAATCTAGAGTGAATGTGAACGAAAAGAATGAAGATTATGAACGGAAACCAGGTTGAAAACCCAATTTATATGAATTAGGAAATAGCAGAAATAGTCCTTAGAGAATTACAATTCTTGCTTTGCTACCCTTCAACTTCTCCAAAAAGTGAGGTGTGACCCCTTTACTTAAATCATCAACTTTAAGCCTTTAACAACTTCAACCCCTTAGCATAAAAGAAAATAACAAAATGTAAGACCGTAAAAAGACATATTTTAACACCCTCCCTCAATCTTGACTTTTGAATAAATCAGTTATTCGTAACTTAGAGCATAGATAGTTATGATGATTATACCAAGAGCCTTTGTAAAGATATCGGCAGATTGTTCAGAAGAAAGAATTTTTATAATTTTTAATAGACATTTACTAATGTTTTCTTTAATTTGATGAATATCTATTTCAATGTGTTTAATGTGTTCGTTAAAATCAGGGTTGTTAGCAATTTGAATAGCAGATTTATTATCACTATATAAAGATACAGGTAACAAATCTGAAACATTTAAGACTGTAAGAATTTTTAGAACCCATAAAACCTCACAAGCAGCAGAAGCCATGACTTTATATTCAGATTTTGCAGAAAAACGAGAAACAGTACTTTGTTTCTTGCTCTTCCAAGAAATCATGAAATTTCCTAGGAATAAACAAAACCCAGTTGCAGAACGCCTAGAAGAAAGACACTTACCCCAATCGGCATCGACAAAGGCAGTTAAAGAATTTTTTTTTATCTAGTAAACCTAACACCTTTACCTGAAAATAACTTTTAAGTACCTGAGAACTCTAAGAGCAAGATTTAGATGAGATAGTTTAGGTGAATGCATAAATTGACAAGAATATATATTAACAAGTTATACTTATGTAAATGTTATATAATATAGTAACAATATTATATAAATATACTCATTGGAACTCTTTCATTAGTGTCTTTAGAGATGACCTTCAGTCTCAAGCGGGATTCAATCGGTCCCTTTAAAACTGGGCTAGCCGGTCCCAACCATAAATCCTAGGGCCAATCGTATTAGGTCCTGATCCGGATTAAAAATATATATTTTTCAAAAGAAAAATTACATAAAAATGTTTTACATGTTTATATAGTTACGATTTTTGAAATTTAGTATTGAAATACACTTTAAATAATATATTTAAGTAGATATTATTTTAAAGAACTCGAAAAAAAATTAAAAAACCAATCCTATAAATAATTGATCACGGGCTGTGCCTTCAAACTCCATAAATTGTATAACAGGTCCTAGATCGTTGAGCCATAACTGGTTCCAATTAATTTTGGGTCCAGACCACTTTGGCCATCTCTATTTTTCATTGGTGGGTCACAAGCCCTTCAGTTCCACTTGAATCAGTCAAAGATTATGACCGTTTAATGTTGATCGCCTTTTCAAACGTTTCTTCCATTCCCACTATTCCATATATGCATTCGGTCAATCGTGTTAATTGTTCAATATCAATGCATTTTTCAAAGAAAATTGTACGGATGAAGGTGATTGTGACAAACAATGATGGAGGCCAATGGTACGAGAACCGATAAGCAACATTATTGAACAACACAATGATGGGGAATACATAGCGCCCCCACTGTACCCGTCCCACTGCTATCGCAATCACAGTGGATGTAAAACGTGTCTTAAAAGGCATGCATGGTGCCTGAAGTCGAACCCTAGACATACCATTTGTTCACGACCAACAGCTAAGGCCATATGGACCATTGGTGCCCAACATGTTAATGATGAATAACACGGCATACCAAAATTAAGAGGGCGAGAGAGACGACACATAATAAGTCTTTATCCATTATGTCATAGAATTTGAATACAAATGCATTACATTTGCAATATTGCACTACCTTCTTAGACTAGGAAGAAGGAGGCAGATTAATCACTCTTGGATACTATTTGCTATAATATCATCGTACCACGATCATGAAAAGAAACCGCAAAGAATCAAGGGTGGTGTTATTGATATATGTTGAAAAGGGTGGTGTTTATTACTTGGTTCGTTTCAGGAATTCGATTTCTAGAAGAGATCGACCTTTTTCTTGGTATTATCTTGCTTCCATTTTGGTAACTGATAGAACTCCTCTCTGCTCATCCCAAGCACAGACTCGAATTCTTCGACAGAAAGATAAGCCTGAAAGATCAAAAACTCTTATTCAGAATGAATGCTACAAGTTCAAACATTCATGAAGTGTTATGCAGAATGAATGCTAGATCTTCAGACATTCGAAAAGCTAACCTCTCTCCTCTTAAGATCAATTCCAGGAACTGGGTTCTCTGACTTAACCCTCACTTGTTCATAGGTGAAAGTGGATTGACTAGTTAATATACCATTTTCATCCTCCTCTATTGCTACCTTTGGTTCTGAATCATCTTCAATGGCCTCTGGAGCCGGCTCAGATGCCTCTTCAGCAGCTTCAGCTTCAGCTTCAGGGGCTTCTGCATGTTTCAAAGATTCATATATGAATGGAAATCAGATCAGAGGTTTATCTAGATAAAACTTAACTCAAATATCATGAATCTGATGTGGGAAAACATCAATTTTAATTTCAGTTATCATAATCTGAACCACAATAGATCAAAGTTTTGAATACCAGGTGAGCCGACAGGAGATGGTTCAGCGGATTTCTTCTTTTCATCAGTAAGAACTGATGATAAGGCAGCAACTGCAGCTCTTCTCTGTGAACCCTGACTCGGTCCTTTTGGAGAACCAGGACCTTTGCCGCCACCACCTGGTTTAAAAGCCGAGTTCAAGGCTGCCATGGCTGAAGCTCTTTGAGTTGGTCCACCACCTTGATTTCCCTGCCCATGTATTAATGTAGGAAGTAAGTAATTTCAATTGCAATTATTTTCAGCTAGCTTATCAGCTAGAATCAGTTAGAGAAGTGATTTACCTCTGCAGCAGCATGGCCTGCTCCAAACAACATCACGACCTTCTTTTCAAATGCATTCCCATGAATCTAGTTGCATTGAAAAATAAAAAAAATCAAGATCAACATAGAGAAAAGTAACTAGATATCAACCAAAACTGAAACTATGGATAGCCATATGTAACAAGAGTGCATACTAATGATTTTGCAGGTTCCCATGCGAAATATGTAGTGAAGAAGCAAGGTTCATTTCCCTCTGTAACTTTGTACAAGGGCACCCGTGGGGATAACCCATCCAGAGATCCAGCCCACTCTATGTATTTCTGAAATCAAATTCATAAAACATAAGATAAAGCGATACATCATCCTTGCAAAAATGCAATACAAACGCTAGGCCTTGAAGCTCCTCCACATAGGTCGCTAGTTCGAGTCTCCTCCCACTTGGGATTTTCCTGGCTGTTATGTTATCTCCAGGGCCATTGGGGATTTTCCTGACTGTTATCTTTAGGGCCGCTGGGGATTTTCCTGACTGTTATCTTTAGGGCCGCTGGGGATTTTCCTGACTGTTATCTTTAGGACCGCTGGGGATTTTCCTGACTGTTATCTTTAGGACCGCTGGGGATTTTTCTGACTGTTATCTTTAGGGCCACTGAGGATTTTCCCGGTTGTTATCTTCAGGGGACTATGAGATTAGTCGAAATGCATGCAAGCGGGTCCTAACACCCACGGTTACAAAAAAAGTACAATTTAACAATCACTAAACAAGTACCTGGCCAAGATCAAAAGCGCTTTTCTTCTCCTTTGAGTCTACCGCCTGACCAACCCAAACAAACACCTCAGCATGTGTATCTAATATCAAGATATCCTCTGGCAACAGGTCATCTTGATCAAAGTTGTAAACTTCTTCAATCTGTAATGCAAAGAAGAATCTTGATTTAGAATTTGATACCAAAATAAGTGGGCCAAGAACATATAACATCAGAACGTCATACGCACCTCAAACTTTCCTGGGATCCACAAAGCAACAAAAATGGTAACGAAAACTAGTTAGAGGGGTTAATCCACAATAACCATTTTTTATGGAATAAAACTGAAAATAACCTATGAAAGAACATATAAAATGAGATTGTGGAACCTTGAATGAGTGAGAATGCAAACAAGTGAGGATCTCGGAAAGTCTCCAGTGATACTTTGGTGCTTTTGAAATTTTGTTTCCCTCCAAGGGGTAACCAGAAACTTGCACTCTCAGTTCCTTCTTTTTGGTATTTCACTGCTATGCCAGGCTGAAAGATAGCATATAGGACACAAAAATTAACAAGAAAATATTGAATTTACACCAATGCTATGTTCGGCAAACTAACAGATAAGCTAGTTGTTGGTTGATAAGCTGAAAAGCTAGTTGTTGGCTAATAAGCTAGTAGTTAGCTTATAAACAAGTCATATTTGATAAAATCTAGCTGATAAGTTATATATGTTTAAAATAAAAATTAAAAAAATAAAAGGGGCATAACTGGAAAAAATGGAAAATCTTCAAAGAGTTAGCTTATGGCTTTTTTCAATAAGCTTAAAAATTGAGCTAGCTTATGGTTGCCAAACATGGCCTAAGAAGATTCGTTCCCAGAAGCATACCTTCAAATATTCAGCAATTTTGACAGCCCATTGTTGTTGCTCAAAAGTACTCTGGTTTCCTTGCCAGATATATACATGGGAACCGGTTTGTACAACAAAGCACTCATACGAATTCAAAGATGTTGACGCCTAAAAGACATAATTTATAAACATGTTTAAAAAATCCCTGATAAATTGAAGCATGAAACATGAATTATATCCTGCAAGTTAACACGGAAGCAATCTACAGATTCTTGAATTAAAATAAAAATCATTGCCCTCCATTACTCTATATGAATGACAGGCTATGATTTTCAAATTATCTCTTTTATTTATAACCAAAGGACGTGAGAATAGCACATCTGCAAAAATCAGAAGTTACTATGATATATTGTTCGTTTGTGACCCATCTCAAAGAGATCATGCATAAACATGTTAACTAGTCGAATGGATGCTTATATGATCACATGGTACAAACTTAATATGATGCAAGTTATACAAATGTGTATAGGGGGATCATGCAGGAACCACAAGAAGGTTGAAAGCACATGAGAACCAATCTTAAAGTATTGTTTCACATGAATTTGTGTCATCTAAGGCTAGGATTTAAGGCATTGTTTCACATGTATTTGTTTTTCATTGTGAAACAAATGATACATCTAAAAAAGTTTCACATTCTGAAACAAATACATGTTATGAAAGAGGATCATGGAGCATACCGTATCTACATGGAGTGCTTTATTATTATGCACTGCAGTTCCCACTATTCGAATTACGGCAGGACTATCTGGACTATAGGTTTCGTCATCCACTCCCTTGTCTGCAATGGAGTTTTTGTAACCGGAGCTTAATCCACCCTAAACCAAACCAAACAAACCCAGTAAATCCACACATTAGATAGGGTACGGGGGTAGGATCGCAGACCTTAACAGAATAACAAATATTCATATCTATAGCAAAGTGTTGAATTTTCATACAAATGTTATAGGAGTACCTTGAAGACAACCATAGGCTGAAAGATGGCAATTAATTGTGGTGGCTCTTTGTCTTGATATATACGGCCCTAAAGAAAAGGATACTATGTGTTAATTAAGCACAAGTTTGCTATCCCAAACCAAACCAAACCAAACCAAACCAAACCAAGCCAAACGAGCCCAGTATATCCCACCCGGAGGTGGGGTCTGGGAGGGGTAAGATATATGCAAACCTGACCTCTACCTCAAAGAGTAGAGCGGCTATTTCCGTAAAGACCCCCAACTTGTGAAAAAGTGCAACAAAAAATGGTTATGGTATGGTACCAGAACAGGTCTCCCCTTCAGAGAGTTGAACATCGATGTACTCAGCTTAGCAGCTGTTTGTTGGTCCTCCTGTTGGAGATCTAAACATATCATCTCTGAAGATCGATAATTCACATGAACTTAAATGCAATGAAAAAACAAAGATGTTGTTTAATGGTTTAAAGTTCGCCTAGTGATTCAAAAAATAGGATAGAATAAGTTTAATCAAATATGATTAACTTCAGGTAATTTCAGTGGAATCAACCATGAATAGAAACGTGTATTGATACCAAAACTCCGATTACAAATAGAAAGAATAGTGGGGATAAAATCTTTTAAGTTAACCAAACGAATTCAGCACCCACACGAAGGGTAATGTATGTAGACGTTACCTCCACCCCAAGGAGTAGAGAGGTGGTTTTTGTGAAGACCCCTAGCTTGTAAAAACGTTTTAAGAAAAATAATTTGCATCGTTTTAGTTCATATATAACCAAAATTGTTTTTGATTTACCTCAGTGCTGTCCTTCCCAATCCAGTAACACAGATAGAAATCCTCTTTCTTCTCTCTCGAATGATAAGTGTAAAGGACAATGTAGCAATCTCCACTATAAAATTTACCAATGTCCTCACTGGCTATTGGATTTTTAGCACCGCCATCGATAGACCATACCTAAAAGGCGAAAAGATTTAAAACTTGAATAACATACAAAGGAAAGAAGCCACGGAATCCATTTGACAAACAAATAAGTTCAGAAGAAGTTTGTGATTGAACCTCAAGTTTTCCATTTCCTTCAAGCAAAGGAGGAACTTCCTCAACAACAGGAGCAACAACCTTTGGTTGTCCTTTTTGGCCAACACCTTGTTGCTTCAACAGTGCTAGAAAACAGAAAATAGGAAGATGATTGATATTCATGATGAATAATATCAAATTCTCCCCCAAGCATTGCATGGGACAGGTTCATTTGTTAACCATAAATATTTTGAGAAACGCTAGAACCAACAATTTATGAATTATTCATTATGAATGTCCTGAATAATGAAAATGCATGATATTCATAAATATTTTGGGATATTCATTCTGAATAATTCATACTGAGGGTTCTCAAACTATTTACACATCCTAAATGAATTTATTGCTTATAAAGAATTGCTTTACCTGACACTTTTCCTCTATTCTCCTCGACAGGTGCACTTGATGGCCAGGACTCAAAGTTAGATTTGAATGAATGTGTCTCATAACCTTGAATTAGTCGGGTCACTTGGGTCGCTTTAGGCCGATTATGAGCAGTGATAAACTCCTACAAATGGTTTAGAGGTGAGAATTAGTAACTAGTAAGAAGTCTTCCACTCTACTCTTCAAGGTAGAGGTCAAGTCAGCATACATCCCACCCTCCCAGACCCCACCTCCAGGTGGGACATATTGGGTTTGTTTTCTGGTAAAAAGAAGAAGATGTAAAAACCAAGGCCTACCTCAGCAGCCTTTGATGCAGCTTTCCTATCATCCACAGATGTAGCTCGACCAACCCAAATAAACACCTCCGATCCACAGTCCATTAGATAACATTTGTCATTTTCCAAAGCCGATTTTGTGATTTCTTCAATTTGATCCTTAACCTCGCCTCCAGCAATGCTGAAAAAGAGGCAATAAACCATATCCTCAATGTAGAAAAGCTCAACTTACAAAAGGTTCTAATGTGGAAAGATAAACAAGATCCTCAATATAGCATGTATGGCAAAAAGAAAACAACAAGCTTGATACCTCAATGTAACATGTACGGCGAAGAAAAAAGCAATAAACTTGAAGCATACAGAAAAAAAGACTCGTACTTATAAAGTTTGGCAGGAGTCCTATCTGGAATTATATCATCTTCACTTGCGACCTTTTTGCCAATAGGAGCAAACCCACCAAAGATAACCCAGAATTCACCTGAGTCCCCCTCAGCTTGAAGTTTTCCATCATCTGAAATGTGTTATAAAAAGAAATATCAGAAAACAGTCGATGAGAAACTAAAAACTAGGCATATGTCAGTATCAATCTAATGATGTTGTAAATGTTAGTTCCCTGTATCTTAATAGCTATCAACCCAAACTCCATGCATCAACTCACTTTATAGCTCTCAACCATCACCAGTCCACTAATGACCATTTTGGAAGAGTGTCTAATGAGCAGAACTGTTCAGACAGATAGGATTCATTTGATCCCTGGATTATGACTGGATTTTTCAGGCTCCACATTACATGCTAGGTTGGCCAAAAGCATCCTCATCTTGGTTATTCTCAAACTTCCACATCCAAAATTCTGCCTTTTGAATCTTTACAACTAGAAATTGCAATTCATTCCAATGTATCAGCTTTGAGAAACAGAAGAAAATGAGAGGGAAGACCATGAAATGTTAAAAGGTTTGTGTGTCTATATCTTCCTTACTCTTCCATTTTTTCTTCTCAATAAATAGCTTATGTTAAATTGGAAGTAATTTATATGTTCAAATCTACACAGATCCAGTATTTGTCAGAATCGGAAATTATCTAATACATAAAAAAACAAACAACAATGCATAAAAGATTCATGTAAAGTAACTGTAAATGAACCATCTAACAGAAGAGAAATGAAGGATTTTGAAAAATGAAATTGTATCAACATATGCCTACCAACAATCGCAACATTGCATGTCCCATCATGATATTTGTCCTTCAAGAACTGAATGACCTCCAACGCTTTGGCCCTTTCTTGAATATTTGAGTTTGCCCCATTGAATTGGAAGATCTTGTCTTTGGTGTCCAAGATAAATACATCATCGTGATTCAGCACTGATCGAGAGAATGGGACCTGAAAAGAACAAAAAATCATTCTCACGTACATAAATGCATGGACATAAGTTAAAAAGTAAATTTAAACATCTTCTTCAGACTTATGTTGAGCTCAGGACCTGCTTCAAATGGACAACTCGTTTTCCTTTACATGTGTACAGTCTTGTTTCAAACTCTTCTTCTTCAGGTTTCTTGAATCCAGTTGCAACACCACCCTCAAGTGGTATGATACATGGTTTAAAGTATGACAAGAATTTATCAGATTCATGATTTTGAATCTCTCTATGCTGCACTGCACGCCCACCAAGAACAGCATCAAGCTCCACTGTTTTTATTGCGGCTGTTCCAGCTTCATCCTAATTTATGTCATGAGTTACCACATTTAGTTAACCACTTGACCATAATATATATAGTTTCTCCATCCCAAAATTATTGAATGCTTTGCTTAATACACAAATATGGATACTATATATACATGATATAAACACACAAGTACAGGTTTATTCGAGAAAAGTAATATTTTGAGAACCATGAGAACCAACTATTTATGAGTTATTCATGATAAATATCATGAATAATTCATGAATATTTGATCCTGGCGATTTCCTAAATGAAATTTACCCTAAACACATATAAGTGTATATATAACTTTTAGCATGCTAGACCTGGCTAGTATCTTTTCCCAACCAGAAGTGAATGTCATACGAGTAAGCACCTCCCCTGCCAGCAGAAGTCTGCAAATACATAAACTGTTAGTGACAAAATTATTCCATTAAAATAGAAATACATGACAGGAAACCACGGCACGAAAGGTCATAAGCACCTGCAAGACAATGTAGGAATCCCCAGAGTAGAATCTCCCATACTCAGATTTTGGATAAGGTACCGGCTGAAAGTTTTCAATTCTCCATATTTGGGTCCCTCTAAAATGTGTTAATTGAAAAATCTAATAACAAATGAAAATGAACCATAAATGCATATCATGATGAATCACCTACATTCTTTAAACTAGGTGTGGGAATATCTGGAACCCCATTAGATTACTCTCCAAAAGAGCCTTTAAGGAGAGAAGGGAGATTCCTACGTATATTGAAGAGAAATGATCCAAGTCCAGCCAATGTGGGATTGCAACACACCCCCTCCAAAGGATAGTAGATGGGCATAGATTAGTGGTTGACCTATAGAGGGGGCTAGATGGGCACAAATTGTCCTGAGAATATGTGGAACCCTGGTAGATTACTCTCCAAAAGAGCCTTTATGTCGAGAAGAAAGATTCCGACATATATTAAAGGGAAATGGTCCAAGTCTAACCAATATGAGACTCCAATAGTCGGCAACATGATAAATCTGTAGTATCTACTATCTACAACTGGACAACACTTATAATTTATCTAATACGAATTCCGGTGAGGATACGGTTTCTGACCAACTCCATGGAACGCAGGCTCGAGATTTTTTGTTGCAGCCATGGTGTTGAATCCTGGCTTGTAACTTCTTTAGATTATGATAGAGGAAAAAACCATCCAAATTTCCCACTATGCAATCTCTATCTAAACCACTTCAAAATTCAACGAAAGCAAACATAAATTAGAATAAAAATCAGTACAAACTTGAAAACCTAATGATAGACAACACAGATTTTCAATTTGTTTGCAGTTCCCAAAAGGGTAAAAATAAATCATCTTCTCTGATCCCAAAATTAATGGCCTTCTCACAAATTTCTTTTAAAGGTTTCAGAATATCATGACCATGCACAAGAATGCCACTAATAAAATTGTCGTTTATGATTATTGAGCAACATAATAACCATAAAATTAGATGGATTGTTAATACGGGTTACAATTAGAATCTAAATAAGATCAAAAAACAATAACAATGTAAACTCAAGATCAATCAATTGAAAAGAGAACATACCTAGGGTTTGATCCCTATAAAAACGGTTCTTGGAGATGAAAATGAGAGCAGAGAAATGGAGATCTGAAGAAGGGTATATAGTTTTAGAGAGGAATGAATGATGATGATTATGATCAAGGAAGGGAGTCTCGATGAAAAAAAATGGTGAAATCAAGAGTGGCAATGGCCCTGCTATCTTTTCGTTTGAATTTCCTCTCTTCTTGGTTCCATTAATTTTTTCTATTTTTGCAAATGCAATTGCCATCTGTAAATCGGTGATTCGATCTTGAAGAAGGAAATGGTCTTCGAAACGAAGAACTTGAATCTCCCGGCCTTTTGAACACCAGTCATTTTTCCGACTAAATTTTAAAATGTGATTTTTTTTCTGTTTTAGTCCCTGTGATTTGTTAAAATTTGCAAATTTTGTTCATATTTTTTTTGAAATTACAGTTTTTGTCCTTGAGTTTTGTAATTCATTGTTGTTTTCATCTTTAAACTAACTCCATCTATTGGTTTACCGTTAAGTATGAAATACAGAAATAGCAATAAATTATGAATTACATGGATGAAAACAACAATAAATTATCTATACTATATTACAAAGCATTTGACAAAAACTTTTAAAAACCATTTTTTATGCATGAAGTATTGTATATTAATGCATATTACTTAAAATTCAATATTACAAGTAAATTGTGCATAAGTACAACTTATTAAAGCTTCATGTTTGAATTCGTGTAACTAACTGCGGATAAACATCTCATTTTACAATATAAAAAATTTAATATATAATTAGGATAATTATCAAGTTCTAACAAAATATTTAATTATTATATTTATAAGAAAAATTATATTGTTAAACCAAATATAAATTACTTCGTTATTGAACCTAAATTAAATTATAGTAAAAAAATAAATTAAAAAATTACACAAAAAATATGAATTTTAAATAGTTAATTTGATACTAATATCGATATAGAATAAAATGAAATATTAAAATCAAGATGTATCTCGCTGCATTGCGCGAGTACCCTTCTAGTAAATCATAAATACGAAAACCATAATTTTAAAAACACAAGAACGATAATAAAAATTCTTAAACCACAAAGACTAAAGACATAGTTTATTCTTTTTTATATGATAAATTATACGATATATGAAATAATAAATGGTTTTCACGATAATATTTTGTTATAATGTGATCAGTTTTTCCGTGTGTCAATTACAATGACAAATTTATGACATGATTTTTTGTGACGTAAATTTGAACATGTTCATTTTGTAATTTTTCCAGAGTGTTTGAGCGTAGAAAGGTGTTTACGGTGATGTATTAAAGTTTGTTGTTTATTAAATAAATTATAACAATCTTAAGTTAATCTTGAGTTGTTATACGACAATGGTTCAAAAACGAGCATTGTGTTGTTTGTCTATTGACCGGATAAGAGCACGATATTTAGGATTAGTAAGCAGTAATTAAAAATGCTTGATATTTGAGCGACTTCTAATTGAAACACATACCAAGTGAACCCCTTTCTTACTGGGTTAGCATATAAATCGTTAGGGTATGAAGAAAGTCATCTAATCCAATTAGAATAAACCGACCATTATTGGATATCCAGTTGTATTTGAATTGAATCAGATCCAAATTGCACCAGTTATCCAGTGTTGATTGGATTGAATCGCATGACAAAATCCAGCATCCAATGGATGATAGGATCAACTTATATTAACTGGAATTTAACCGAAGGACACTCCTATTGGTCAACGTATCTGTTAGTCAAATATAATTGATAAGTAACATCTATTCTTACCGGGTAAGCACCTCTTACCTAATAAGACGAGCAATATATAGTAAACAACCTTTAGGGGTTAAGGGGTAAATTCAATGGAACCGGAATGACCAATTTCGTTGACCTAAGTCGAAATGTGTTCCAGAATATAACGTGTCGATTTTCTAGAATACTACGATTCTAACAGATAATTGAATTGTGTCAAATTTAAGTTTATACCTGAACTGTCGAGCTAGCCATGACTTTTTGTGTTATTTCTAGAAGCTTTATCTCTGTTATCTTCTGAAATTTTAAACACCAAAACTTCAATAAATAGTTCGCGGATTAAGTTACAAAGTAATGAAAATTAATTATAATCATAATGGAAACGAAACAACAGTTACAAGAGTTATTACAACCCTTAATTCCCCATTTACTACTAATTAATTTTCAAAAATAGGAATGAATTTTCATTCCTCGCTTTTAATGACAGTCCGAGCTGCAAAGTCTAACTTTTTCAGAGAACTCTTGTTTTCCATTCTAACAGATAGCCTTTGTGGTAGATAATTTTCTGATGATCATTTGGAATCTCTGGTATCAATGCAATGATGTGCTTTGATATGATGGTTTGGTGAATCCTGAAACGTTGGTGAAAAGAGCAACGAGTGTCCACTCGAATTGGATAAAGATGGATGGTTGTGGGATCGAACTGTAGCAGCTCCAACTCAAAATTGCTTGCACCTTTGGCATTACCCACCGAATGATTAATATTGATGTGCCCTCTTCCTACACGATGCTAAGGCTGGAATTCATGATTCGAGATGCTCAAGGTGTGGTCTTCTGCTAGGACGAAGTCTATCTCTGGATTACCGCCTGTTACTGAGTGTGAAAGCTTTGACTCTTCTTAATGCCATGTTGTGGGCTGCCGAGTTGGGCTTGCAACCGGTTATCTTTGAAACCGAATAAACGTTGTTGATGCGATCACCTCCATGGAAGATGATGACTCGGAATTTAGGGATATCATTGGTTGTATTCGTGTCACTATATGCCATCATGCCTTTTCTTGATTAATGCTATGTTTGGTAACCAGCTGATAAGTTAGTTGATGGATGATAAACTAGCTGATTAATAAATTATGTTTGACAAAAACTAGCTTATAAGCATAAAAAATGACCAAAACGTGCATCTTGAAAAAATAACAAATTACAAATATTTCATAATATAATTCAAATAAATTTCTAATAATAAAACTAAAACAGATGTCTAATAATATAACATGTTAATTAATATAAACAAAATATTAAGAAAAATTTAATAATATAATAATGTTAA